GGATAAACTTACTTGTGGCACAAGACTGAATGAACTCTTGCCATCCATCGAGAATCCGAGGTTAAGGTACAGGAAAGTTATTTTAAACGCAATCAGATGTACCCTGTGTCTTGCAAGTACCAGCTGTTGTCATGAGTATGGCTAATGTATTATTATGTACCATGTTGATCTACTCTGTGGCTAAATATTCATTTTTACCAAGCAAAAATAATATAAACTATGTAATAACGTTATCAGCTAAGAAACAGCACTCGTAACTAAATGATAACGTTATGACATGAACATCAAGGCGCTTTGTACCGCCAGTGATTGGTTTGTCCTGTGCTATTCATGCGGTCCGAAATTCTGGGTTTTCTATCCGTGGTCATCGGAATTTCAGACAGACTCTTCGTCAATGTCCCCTCCTCAAGTAAGTGTTCGATTACAAACAACCAGCAGTGAGAAATAACACTTAAATAACGCATCTGCTCATCAAACTTTTTATCCATTCCGATGTTGGACAATGAAGGAAAACAAAGTACCGATGAAATGTTTGTTGGAAAGGGGGGGGGATAGAACGGTGAACATTTTATACGTGGCTCAAAAGCGAATGAACTTGAGACCCGGGTGAAGCTGATTCGGTTACACCCACAAATCTTCTCTCAGATAAATTTGAGAGGTTAAGAAAAATGGGTTCAAGTTCAATTATGCGTCTTCGTTCTGAGACGAACTGTTCTGATAAAATTTGATAAAGCCTTCCTTCACTCTGGAGTGTCGTGAATATAAGCAGCGAAGATGAAGTGATACAATTTATTGTTACGTCATTTTAATTAGTGAAAGCAGCTCAAGGGTCGTGTGAATGAATACTAAAATCAGGCATGAATTCACGAGTAATCTTGGACGACGGTTCTTAATCCAGAAGAAACACGCTAACTATGGCTGTGAAAACATGAAAATGCCAGTTGGTGTTATCGAAATGTACATCACTGTTTTGGGGCTAAGGCAGGAAATCCAGGAGCACATTCTCTTTGTACATGAGACGGTTGCTGTTGATTTTGAATGGTTTTGGGTTTCAAGCCATGGTCTTTCTGAACTTGTCATTTTACCCAGTTGCGTTTCGTTAGATTAGCGTTAGGAGATCCGTTTTCTCTTCCATTGTATACACTGTTTATAAAAGCATTCAGAAAACGGGACAGTTTGTTCGAACAGCGAACGTTGAACCCTATGACCTTGTCTTTATTGCTTTGTCCCTATGGATACGTTCAAAGGAACAAAACAAAACCTGCTGAACATTTCCTAAATTTACTATCTGGCAATCCGGGAACATATTCCATTTCGAAAATGGTCCGCACTGATGATAAAGCTTTCCAGTGTTCGTTGTAAAGTTAAGTTCAGGTAGAAACTGCATCAGCCATCGTATAGTCGTTGGTCGCATTGGTTTGTTGTCGTCGAGGCGACATTCAGACGCCGTCTCGTTGACAGCTGTTATGGGAGCGCCCGCTGCCACCCGTCCGAGCTCGGCGGCTCGAACCTGCTTGCTGCCTCGCTACCGTCTCGTTTCTTTTCGTTTCATTCCGTTCCGTTGCGTTCTGCTGTCTGTCTCCGTCTCCCGACGCGTACACAAGTAGTCTCGGCGCTGCGGGCTACCTGTAGCTGCTGTCGACCAATCAGCGCGGTTGGCGGTTGACCAGATGACCGACCGCAACACCCTCTGGTGCTGATGAATATGGCGTTGCTAAAAAACCAGTTATTTTTCTCTCTGCGGTCGCGACGGATGGCCAGTCGGTCGCC